ACATATATATATAATTTTTTTTTTAATGTTCAGCACCATTGGGGAAATGCAAATAAATTGGATAGTATCTTAAAAATGGAGTTTTGTAAGCTAGGTATGGTGTTGCATGCCTATAATCTAAGTGCTTGAGAGGCTGAGACAGGAGGATTGCCCTGAGTTTGAGGCCAACTTGGGTTGTATAGTAAGTTTGAAGCCAGCATGAGCTACATAATGAGGAAATGGAGTGTTTGGTTCAAAAGCCATACATACTACAGTCAAATGTCAGTCCCCTGGAGGGATTGAAGTGTAGCCCAGGGGTGGAGCCCTCTCCAAACCATGTGCAAGGTCTGGGTTCCATCCCCAGCACCACAAAATGACTTATTTCATTGACAATAAATAAAGAATCTTGTAAAAGACAATTTATACTTCAAATAATAATGATAATGCGTGCTTTTTCAATGCTGGGAATGTAGCTCAGTTGTATGTACTTGCCTAACATGTCAGAACCCTGAGGTTGATCCTCCACACAACAAAACAACTAACTAACTAACTAACTAACTAACTAACTAACTAACTAACAACTTCCTGTTTATTTAAGGCTGGGGTATAACTTGGTGAAACCCTGAATGTTTTTTTCCCCTCTAAATCCTTATCAATTTGAATTTATTAATCCTCTGTATATTTTGTGACTCATATGAAAAATCATCTTACTATTTTAATTTGCTTCTCCATGATCAGTAGAGAGATTGAACTTTTCATACCTGTATTAAGAATTTCTACTTCTTTTGAGAATTACCTTTGAACTCACACTCTTCTTTCTAGTGAGCTTGTCTTTTTTAGTCTGTTATTCCATCAGCAATGTAGTTAATTTCTTTCTGTTATGATTAGTTTCTACTGATGCTTAAAGCAGTTTTTCTCTTTATTTTTTTTTTAACTATATGGAGGCTTTAAATTTTCACATAGTTAAGTCTATTCCTATATGGCTTCTAGATTTTGTGACATGCCTCAGGAGCCCTTCTCTGTTGATTGTAAGATCACCAAAATAATGGCCTGTGATTATTTTCTGTCACTTTATATTTTATTTTGTTTGAATTATCTATTTATTAAGAGAGCTTTTGGATGGATCATTGTGCCCTTCTCGTGCTTGACTAACTAGACTGATGTTTTGTTTTGTTTTGTTTCAGACCCTCATTCTTTATGCCCTTGGTGTGGTTCTTCAGGATCCAAGTACTTGGCCTTCACCACACAAGTATGAAGTAGCTGTTATATCTTTTATTTTATGTGTGAGTACATGCAGTGCCCCCACAGAGACCAGAAGAAGGTATTGGATCCCTGGAACTTGAGTTACAGATGGTTGTTAGCTGCCATGTGGCTGCTGGGAGCCAAACCTAGGACCTCTGCAAGAACAGTCAGTGTTCTTTATCACTGAGCTATCTCTCCTGCTCTTGTTACGTCTTTTTAATTGCTGATTTTTATGTGTTTGCAAATTTGTATTCCTTTCCTAAGTTTTTTTTTTTTGTGTGTGTGTATAAGTGCTTTGCCTGCATGTATATAAGTGCACACATGTGTGCGCTGCCTGTGGAAGCCAGAAGAGGGCATCGGATTCCCAGGAACCAGAGTTATAAAGATGGTTGTTAGCTGCCATGTAAGTGCTGGGAACCAACCCAGGTCCTCTGCAAGAACAGAAAATGCTCTTAACCACTGACCTATCTCTCCATCCCAGATGCCAAGTTTTTTGGATTTTTTAAGGGGGGCTGTTTTTTTGTTTATTTTGTTTTTTTGAATTAGGTTCTCTCTGTAGCCCCAGCTGACCTGGAATTCGCTATGTAGACTGGCTGGCCCTGATCTCACAAAGATCTACCTGCCTTTGCTTTCCAAATGCTGGGATTAAAGGCATGAGCCACCATGCCAGGCAATGCCAACTTTTTGATAAGTTTTAAGTGTAATGTGAAAAATGGAGCTGGGTATGTTGCTCAGTGGTAGAGTACTTGCATAGCATGTGCCATGTCTGAGATCCACCCTAGTACTGTAGGAAGAGAGAGAGGGAGGAAGAGAGCGAAGAATGAGAAAGAAACTTCATTGGAACTTTTGACATTATTCCTATTCTCAAAATACTCAAAGAACCTAGGCTACAAATGAAATATTAAAAAGAATAGATGGAGGGGCTGGAGAGATGGCTCAGCAGTTAAGAACACTGGTTGTTCTTGTAGAAGACCTGGGTTTGAATCCCAGCACCCACATAGCAGCTAACAGCTGTAACTCCAGTCCCAGGGGATCCAACAGCCTCTTCTGACCTCCACAGGCATTGCACGACATGGGTGCACTTACCTACATGCAGGCAATACATGGATACACATAAAATAAAATAAAAAATAAAATAAAAAGGAGTAGATGGAGTCAAGTGTGGAGGCACTTGACTGCAATCCCAGCACTCAGGAGGTGAAGGCAGGGAGATTGAGAATTTGAGGGCAACCTGTGCTATATAGCAGGACACTGCCACAAACATCCACCCTCCCCTACCTTCAAGAAATAATAGATGCCCAGATCTGAAGGTCAGATTTCAAATTTAGAAGATATGGGTATTAGTATTATGTCCAAGGAGCTTTCTGAAGCTGGGCACTTCTTATTCATGTCAGGTGGAATGGCCAGTGAGTCATTGTTTTCATTACTTTGAGAGAACTCACATTGACAGAAATACCTGCAGAACTCAGACTCCGTTAGACATAATAGATTAATAGTAGCTTAATATAAGTGTTACTTCAAAGAGGATAGAGGAGAAGATGAAGGGAAGAGGGGATTGACTTTTTTTTGAGCTATAGGTAAGTTGTTGCATGTCCCTTTATGTCTGAGTAATATTCCATTAAATGGATGTACCAGAATTTGTTCAACCATTATCCAATGTTTTACTATCATGAATGAAGCTACTATAAACATTTGTAAATTTTTGTTTGAACATAGGATTTCATATTTTTATAATATATGCCCAAGATTATAATTGTTCCATTTTTATTTTTAAACTATTTTATTTATTATTTTTTAAATTTTATGTGTATGAGTGTATTGCCTGAATGTATTTAAGTGTACCTGTGTTGCACAGTACCCATGGAGGTCAGATGAGGGTGTCAGTTTCCCCTGAAACTGTAGTTACGAATAGTTGTTAGCTACCATGTGGGTGCTGGGAATCAAACCCAGGTCCTCTGTAAGAGCAGTCAGTGCTCTTAACCACTGACCCATCTTTCCAGCCCTGTGTTCCATATCTATCAAAACAAAATTAGAAGTAATAATTAGAAGCAGTAATATGGGCTGGGCATGTGGTGTGTGTCTGTAATCTTATCAATAGGCAATAGTAAGGTGGGAGGATTGTGAATTGGAGGCTAGGCTGGGGTACAGAGTGAGTTCCAGGGAAGCCTGGGCTATATAGGGATACCGTAGTTCAGAAGGAAGAAAAGAAGGAAGGGAGGGAGAGAAGGGAAGTCAAGGGGAGGGGAGGGGAAGGGAGGCCAGATGACAGGGAGAGGGAGAGGAGAGGAGGGAAAAAAAAATAATTTCAAACTCAGCTATTTGAGCTTCAGCATTGGCTTACTTCACCAGGAAACTATGTTGTTTCCAAGGAATAAGCCTGATGTTTGACTGCTTCATGCAAAGCAGTAATAATTCCCACCTCACAGGTATAAAGTAATAATGCATAAAGCGCTTAGTAAAGTACCTACTGTGTGACAACCATTTGATAAATGTATGTGAGCATTAGTCAGTGCTAGGTGCTATGCTAAACACTTTTCTTACCTGATCCTACTTAATTCTCACAATAGCCCAGTGAGCAGAATCTTCGTTATTTGGTTTGGTTTGGTTTGGTCTTTTGAGACAGAGTCTCCCTGAAGCCCCAGCTGACCAGGAACTTACTAAGTAGACCAGGATGACCTCGATCTCACAGAATCCTGACTGCCTCTGCCTTTTTAGTACTGGGATTAAAGGCGTGCACTACCATGCCTAGCTCTAGGATCTTTGTTTTTACAGATGGCAAAATTGCTTAGAGAGATTACATTTATACAAGACTAAGAGCAGAGACAGAATCGCAGCACACAAAGCATTTGATGTTACTGGCCTTCAGCCCTTTTCTCTCTGTATACAAATGTAAAAACCTACATAACAAGTACCTATGTAACAAGTAAACTCTGTGTAAATCAGAGAGATGCAAAGAATGTGACTTGTGGCATACTCTAAATACTGACCTTTTAATAAACCTTAATATCACTCTAAAATGTGTTTACTAGAATCTAAATATTCCCGGCCCCCCAGTAGAAGGAGTGCCAGGTGTGCTCCACCAAGGCCATCTGCACACAAGTACATGCATGTGTGTGTGTGTGTGTGTGTGTGTGTGTGTGTGTGTGTGTGTTCATGCTGTCTTCTCTCTCCAACTGGGTGTGTAGGTCTTTTAAAAACATTTGTATTTGATGGGGCTGGAGAGATGGCTCAGTGGTTAAGAGCACTGACTGTTCTTGCAGAGGACCCAGGTTCGATTCTCAGCACCCACATGGCTGCTATACCGTCCTTAACTCCAGTTCCAGTGGAATCTGAAGCTCTCTTCTGACCTCCGTGGTATTGCATGACCCTGGTGCACTCGCATACGTGAAGGCAATACACTCATACATTAAAAATAATAAAATGTAAGGCCAGGCTTGGTGGTGCATGCCTTTAATCCCAGCTCTCGGGAGGCAGAGGCAGGTGGATCTCTTTGAGTTCAAGGCCAGCCTAATCTACATAGTGAGTTCCAGGACAGCTAGGACTACGGGGAGACCCAGTCTCAAAAAAGACCAAAATTAATTAATAAATAAATAAAATAAAATGTTTAAAAAAATTGTATTTGAAACAAACTTTTATGTTTTCTTTTTACTATACCTACTTCTCTAGCAACATTTTCACATAGGGAAAATCTAAAATCATAAAGCCTTTCTTAGCCCCTTTGTTTCTTTCATAATAAATATGAATACAGTGTAATTGGTAAATAAATTTCAAGGCTGAAATTCCCAGTTTTAAGACATGAATTTTAATTGTAGAAGCAATGTGAAATAGTTTACATGTTGATCAGATCTTAATTTTATTTAAATATTTATTATATATTTGAATTATCCTTATATTTCATATGTGATATAAGCTGATGTTACATGCTAGATCTGATAAATGTATTTTGTGTCTATTGTTTAGAGATAATATATTCAGAACAGCAGGTGATTAAATGTCTGTGTTTTCACAGTTTGGCAGCATAATGAAGCATACCACTACTGCACCTTCCATATTCAGTAGATTTAAACTCCTTCACAGCCTGTGTTACTTTAGTGTGATGTATAAAATGCCAATGGGACTGTATTGTGGCGAACCCCTGATTTTTTTCTTTAGGTTTGATCCTGATCGCTTTGCTGATGATTCGGTGATGAGAGTGTTTTCCTCACTTGGGTTTTCAGGGACACAGGAATGTCCAGAGCTGAGGTAAGCATCAGAGGAAATTGTGGGAAAAGGAAAGATGCCGACTCTCTACTTGGAATCTGATGATTTCTCTGAGAGTGAGCAGTCTATACAATTTGTAATGTTGAACTTTTGCTTCTTAGTAACAAGCCAGCTTTCTTCCTAGGTTTGCATACATGGTGAGTGCAGCTCTTCTGACTGTTCTTGTGAGGCGACTGCACCTGTTGCCTGTGGAGGGACAAGTATTTGAAATGAAGTATGCACTGGTCACATCATCAAGGGAAGAAGCTTGGATCACTGTCTCAAAAAGATACTAAACTTTTAAACATTTAAAAATCATTAAGTAGCCAGGCATGTGGCGCAGGCCTTTAATCCCAGCACTTGGGAGACAGAGGAAGGTGGATCTCTGTGACTTCAAGGCCAGCCTGGTCTACATAGCCAGTGCCAGGCCAGCTGGGGCTACAGGGAGACCATGTCTCAAAAGACAAAAAAAAAAAAAAAAAACTTTGTTAAGTAGATGAAGGAAACTAATTTAGAATGTGTGTGAATCTTTTTATAATACAAGCATCATTTTGTAATAAACCTATTAGCACTTCATTTTGTAAATTTAAATTTTATATATCAGATTTTCTCAATGCATGATATACATTTATACTTATTGCACCAACATATTGATAATTTTTATAGAAAGTTTTAATTTTCTTTTCATCATTTCATTTTCTAAGTCATTTTATTTTGTATTTCTTAGTTTCATCTCTAAAATGAATACTCTTAAAGAGACAATTTATGTTTACTCCTTTTTTTTTACTTCTAATAAATCATCTACAGCTTTTTTTTGGGGTTTTCATTTTCTGAGTATTAGTTGTTCTTTAATCATTTTAATCAAGTTTTAGTGATTCACTGGGCATCCTGCAGTGCATCTGCTACTGTTTGCTTTTCTACATAAGTGTTCATCTAACGTCTTCTTAAAGGCTCAGCATTTGGAGCAGTCCTGAGTCATTTGGAAAATAATACAGTTGCTTCTGACTGTGCTTTGAAATGCCCACCCCTCCAATGTGACAAACTAAGATTGACATTTGTCCTGTTTGGCTGGAAATCTTGCAGCACTATATTGATTCCACTAATCTTATATGGAGGAACAGAATTCCTAAGTTGGGAATTAAGCATCATGCCATATACTATACATAAAGAATCCTTCAGTAAGAAAGAAGAAATTTCTAGTTGGAAACCACAACCAGAGTGGGGGTTCAGGGAAAAGAAAACAGGTGGATGAAGAATTTGTAAGCCTTAGAACACACAAGCAAAACAACCATATTACTCAGGAAGAGCTCACATGAACTGTTCCAGGACTGGGATCCTGAGTGGATGGTGAGCACTTGTCTTGCATGTGATAGGCCCTGGGTTCACTTCCTAGCACCTCAAAAATGAGAAACCAAAAATAGGTAAGAAAAATGCACAGTAAGATGCATGGACAAGAGAGAAGATCCAACAGCTTTGTAGGAGGAAATGGCTAATGAATTTCTACAATAGGGTGGAAAGCAAAGAGGTATTTGGAATTATTTAGGGAACATTTTAAGACTTCCAAAGTATACTTTAGCACTAATAAGTTTTATTTGTAATGCTTTATTGGTAGCATTCTATTTTAGTTCACTTTTTGTTTTGGGTTATGCTATTAATGAAGATTTCTCTTTGAGTGGGGGTGGGGGGAACTGAGGATTAAACCTGGGGCTTCATGTATGTGAGGCAAGTGCCCTTCCACTGCGTCACCGCCCTGCTGCTGCTTCCTCTTCCACTTCCTCCTCCTCCTTTTCTTTCTCTTCTTCCTCTTCTTTTTCTTAGAATTTCTTTTTCTGGGTCTCCAAGAAGACTGAGCCAGTAAAGGTGCCTGCTGCCAAGCCTGATGACCTGAGTTCAACTCCTGGAACCAACACAGTAGAAGAAAACTGACTCCCACAAGCAGGTTATCCTCTAACCTACATGCGCGCACACACACACAATTTTTCAAAAAAAATAATTTTTCTTTTAAAATATTCTTTAGACAATTATGAAAAAAGCCAAATACAGATAGAGAAAAGGAAGAAAACTGGTAATTACAAACTGGCTTTTTTTTGGTCTTTTGAGACAGGGTCTTCCTGTAGCTCCAGCTGTCCTGGAACTCACTATGTAGACCAGGCTGGCCTTGATCTCACAGAGATCTGCCTGCCTCTGCCTCTCGAGTGCTGGGGTTAAAGGCATGTGCCACCATGCCCGGCACAAACTGGTTTTTTAATGAATATTTTATTATTTTTATTTTATGTGTATGAGTGTATTGCTTACATGTAGATTAAGTGTACCCTACGGAGGTCAGAAGAGGGCATCGGATCCTCTGGAACTGGAGTTATAATTGGGTGGTAGTTAGCTATCATGTGGGTGCTGGGGATCAAACCTGGGTCCTCTGCAGGGACAACCAGTGCTCTTAACTGCTGAGCCATCCCAAATTGATTATTTTTAACACTGCTGAATTTCATTTGCAGTTTTCAAGAATTACAAATGCCAGGCAAATGTGATGGAGCAGAGTAACTCAGTGGTAGATCACTTCTCTAGCATGCATGAACCCTAGGTTCAAATTCCCAGCAACACACACACACACACACACACACACACACACACACACAC